TATGTAGGAATTGATTCTATCAATGTAAACCAGGTGTTATAATAATTAAACACCATGCAGAAAAAACATTAGGAAATCTAGTAGAAAGATTTTTAACCTGACGTGATCTAACTTGTCATTTATAAGTATGTTGCTGTCTTCCATTGCTACAGCAATTAACTAGACATGCAAAGCATACAACTTACAACTATTTCATAATTTTGTGCACAAATCCAGTGGTTATTTGCATACTGGACATTGTCTACCTAATTGCACTGCTGATGGCTAATAATGATTGACAGTACTGCAGACTGCTGGACTCATGTAGGCTACTTTCAAATGTTCTCATCTTATTTTAAAAAACAGCCTCTAAAATTCCATTTGACATTGCAGCTGGCCTTGAGTTATCTACAGCAGGCTGTGCAATTTATAAATCACATGTGGAATGTGATTAAAAAAAAAAAAGGTCAAATTTTGTTTGGATGTCCTTAGCTTTGGAGGCATAGTGAGCTACTGACCTCTAGTTGAGAAAAACAAGATAGCTATTAGGTCTGGTCCTTTTTCTAAAATATATTTTCTTCCTACTTGCCAGCCTGCAATGTAATTTATTTAGCTTCTTCAAGACAATAGGAAAAGCTTTCCTGTTTTCCAGGCAACTCATTCAAACTATTTAAAATCAATAGCAAAGTCTCCATTTTTTAAAGAAATGCTTTTTTTCTGCCAGTATCTTTTAGTCTGCATTCATATAAGTTCAGCACAGATGTGAACTCAAATGACTGGCCATTAAAATAGCAGAAGCCAAACAGGAGCTGCAGGAGCTGTTCTTGGCACAGTTTTTCTATTTGAAATGTTGCAAAGAAGAAAATTGAACACCCAATTTCCTTCTGTTTGAAACAACTAATTTGTTACAGATTGATCAAAAATACAGGCTGCACATAATGCACTTGTAAATACAAGACACCAATATTTTTTTCCTTTGTAAAATAACTTCACAAATGATGAAGAGGCTTCATGAGTAGCTTCATGAATTCACTGAGATCCACTGATACATTAGGACTCATCCTCTAAACTGCTGAACAGTGAGATGTTCAGCACCAGACAGGATTAAGCTCTCCGCTCTTACTTCAATGCATTTTAAAGTCACAATATTCAGCCACAAATCGTTATTACCCACCTACCAATATCTCCATAATTTCTGTGTCTGAGACATTCTTTTTACCTTTGCTCAAGAAGAATGTAAAATGACATATTTTGTTAGGACTTCAAAAGTAGCTATTTTTCTTTTGCCCTGTCTTCCTTTCCCTGTAATTTTTGGAACCATGTCTCTCCTAAATTATTGGATGATTCTGCAAAGATCACAAGATGAGTATAAGATGAGTAACTCACCAGCAGAGGAAATAAGTCTATATATTCTATCTATCTTTCATAGAAGAAATTAAGATGTTCAGTTAATAAATAGAGTGAATTATGAATAGTTTATGCTTGCTGCTGTTGACAGTAGCCAGTATCTATCTGTTCTCTCCCTTCGTATCTCCAGGGGACAGAAGAAATATTTCATGAAAGTTTCACTTTACTGTGAAAGCATGGTTTCTTCTACAGTGTTCTTGTATTTTGGGCCAAATACAGCATCTTAACTTCAGCTAAGTAAATTGTTGTGGATCCTGTGCAAAGATGTTACTTTCAGACAGGACCAACAATGCTATTTCTCTTCTGCTCCCCATGGATGAAGCACAGCACTGCTTTTTGTTTGGCTGGTTTTATTTTTCATTTATATTTTTGTTCACTGCACTGCACTCAGGCCAGAGCGTGGTCAGTATTTCTGGTGCTGTGCACATCCAGTGGGCAAATCCCATCAGAGCACGCTCCATTGACACACACCTAGCTGGGGTGGTGATGAAGGGTCAAACTGGAAGCTTTTACTGGGTGATGCTCCATGCCTCTGGCACAAAGCAATTTATGTATTTACAGTAATGAAATGGATGATGGAAATAGATTTGCTTGTTAAAAGTGCAAATGTGGCCAAGCTTTTCCCATTTTGGAAGGTGGGATCAAAATTCAGAGTGGTCTTCACAAATTGGAGAAATCCGCAGAAGATCAGTGGTGCAATTTAATAATGAGGAGTAGCAAGCCCAGCCTTAGGAAGCCAATGTCACAGACACAATATGGAGAATGATGGAGCAGGCAGTAGTTCTGTGCCAAAGATTGCAACACTCTATCAAGTTTGGGAAACCACACTTCAGGAAGAGCTGGTCCAAGCAGAATGATCTGAGGTTGAGAAAGCATACCCTTTGAGGAAAGACTGAAAGAGCAAAGATTATTTTTTTTTCCCCAAGAAGAAATTGAGAAGAAATAAGTAAACATGTTTCGAACAAAACAAACTCTCTGAAAAGATGAAGATAAAATCAGGTTTTTGTGTTCTCTGAGGACAGGGCAGATGTACTGCAGGGAGGGGGATAAGCAACCTTTCCACCTGAAGGATATTTAAACACTGGAATAGACTGCTTATATAGTAGAGTTTTTATCACTGGCTGTTTCTACAAACATATTAAATAATAATCTGATCAAGAGTGGTGCAGGATATGAGCATTGTATGAGATGAAGCACAGGTGAATGAATTAAGCCTTAGTTCTAACAATGAACTCTTTGCACCTACTTGTAGAGTGTCAGGAAAGGACTTGGGGGCTGTTGAATCCAATTTTCTGCTGAGAAGACCTCGGGGGGGTGGGAGGAGAGGAGCATAGTCTCTTCATAGGTCAATAGGTATATATTTAGATGCTGTTGTGAGATCCTTTCCAATCCTACCTCCTATAAAACTTTGCCAAGTTCACTGACTGACAGCTAGCATTTCTGGAATGTCAGACTCTGCCATCAGACTTTTGACTTTTCCAGACTTTTGTCATATAGAAATAATTAAAAATAGTGAAGATGTTTTGCATTAGTGTTTATGTATCAAAGACCGAGGGCTAGCCTTGTGTCAAGCGACCTTGTTTGTTTATTTTGTACAAATTTAAATTCAGAAGTTATAAGTTCTAATTTCCAGCTAAGTGTATTTGATTTCACTCTGCTTTTAATTGCTCTTGATTTGTTAAAGAATCATAATAAGATCCACCTATTTTATTCTTAGGGATGTTAGTTAATACAGGATGTGAGATGTTTTAATAAGACAGTGATTAAGAGTTTTCCATTGTTCCTCACGGACTATGCATATAACAACTAATAATCCAGCTGATGTTGAAAGCAAAAAGAATCTAATTGCCTTGGCAAATGTTATAAACAAGTGTCGATTGGAACAGTGCTGTTAAGTGAGAGTGCATTTGCTTTTAGATTTGCTTGCGACTGTTACTCTTTCTCACCAGAGACTTGAATGCATGGTCATTCCTTTTTTCAGTAAAATGAATGCAACAGTTTGCTAACAGAAGTTTGGCTTGGAGAAGACATTTCTTTCACAGTAGATCTTTTGCTTCTGTTTTTAAATGCCAGGGATTTAAAATGGGATGTATACAAAGTACTGAAGTGACTGTCATTTATATTGAATGCATTTGTGGTATGTCTACAAAAGGTGAGTTGTTTCCAATTTTTATCTGACAACCAATTATACTAGACACATCCATAATCACTGGTGTCAGGACCTTCTCAGTTGGATGGCTAAAACAACTGATTCTGTTTTTCCCTACCTAAAATCCTTTAAAATTTGATGGGGAGAAAAATCTCAGTGCAGGATAAATCCATAGTGAACTGCCATTTGGCTTTTAAGTGTGGAACTTTACAGTGTCATCTTTGTATAATAATCTTAGAAATGGAATGTATCTATGTGGACACACACATACAGTTATTTACATATTTAATCCAGTAATTTAGGACACCTTCCCCTAATGAATGGGTGTACATTTGATCAATTATTTAAAATCAGTGCATTAAAGAGATGCAGTTTTCTAACCCCTCATCAATATATCTACCTGTACTCATATAACACATATCAATACATAACAAAAGCTTTCTCATTACTTCAAAAAAATGAATTTAATTGACCTACATGAAGGGTATTAATTTTTTACTGAAGATTTTTTATTTATTCTAAGACAAATAAATACAAGTGGAAACATTTATCACCCTGAACACAGAAGTTAAAAACACCAGATTTGAGACATGCATTATCAGACATATCGGCCATCTGGTATTTTTATTATTGTATCTTTTGTTTCAATCACACATAATCCCACTAAGATATTTAATAAATAATTCACATTTTGTCAGCTTCCTTAATGCTTCCCTTAAGCAATGCATATGCTGTAATCTCTTTCTTAATAGATGACATTATGAATGCAGGTATCTGCAGTATAAAAGTGCTATACACTTTAAAGGAAAGGTATAATGAATAATATACTAAATAACAAGAGAAAAGTTAAATGCTTCTAGGTAAATCAATCAGAAAACCTATACTTTCTCTACGCCTCTCATTAAATATTTGCAAAGGAAGTTGTGAAACTTTTTATGCTTTGTATTTATTTAATAGTGTAATAAAAAATAATCTTTCCATTGGGTATTTGAAACCCTAGTGATTAATTGCCAGGAAAAAAAAAATCAATCCAAAATGGCTAGGTAATGAGGTACACTAAAGATGTGCTTTACAGAAAATTACAGAAAATAGTGCATACTTATCAAAATATGCACTGAGACACTGTTTTTGAATATACAAATAAATTGCTATTTATATACCTCCTCCTCTAGAGTTACAGGAAGAAATAATTCCACTAAATGGAGAACTGTAAAGTTTTATGTGCCATATTTAATAGCATTAAATCAGGTGCATTGCACTGATAGGTATGATATTACTGCACTGTGAATGTCATTGTGTTATATGACTTTTTTATTCACCTTGACTTTTATCTGTGGTATCCTATGCATATGGAACCATATAAAGCAGGCAGCATGCAATAATCTACAGTCTTCCAGCCCTGGAGTTACTACAAATGTAGTCCTCTGTAAATGCAACCAAAACATCAATTTTCACTTTGCTTTACCTTATCCTTCTTTTGTTTTTCATCTCGGTATATGATCCAGTGCTTCCCATCATTGCTGTAAGCAATCTTGTAGGACCCCACAAATTGAACATGACCAAAATCTTTAGCTCCTTGGGTAATTATGCCAGTGATTTTTGTAGGGACAAGCAGGTCAACCTAAACAAAACAGAAATAAAACAAAACACAGGAGAATGTAATTAGAATAGTTTCCGTTTGCAGTCTGACTTTACACCACACCAAAGCAAAATGGTGCAGCATGTCACACGTTGTTGGCAGATGTTCTTGGATGCAGGCAGGAAAACCCAGGGCTGTTAAGAAACCCCTTAGTGCATGGTGAGAGAGGATCCAGTCCAAGAGGTGGATTTGCACTGCTTTGCAACCGTGCCCACTGCATGCTGACATCATACACAGTAACTTTCCTTCTCCAAGCTCCAAGTGAATTTACTTTTATTTTCTGTTTATTGTTTATACCACCTAATGGCACAACAGGGCTAATCTCATGCTATTTTCCATTGTGCTAGGCGCCATACATGGTCCCAAGAAAACAGCAGTCTCCACTGCAAATAATTTATAGCCAAAAAGTGTTCCCATGTGCTCCTAATACTCAGAATACAGTATGTCAGAGGTTGATTCCCCAAGTGCCTTTCCATTTCATTTGCAGTAGCAGAGTCAGTGCTTACTACATCTTCTAAAACATTTCTTATCACACTTCTTTTCCTGCAAATCTTCTGTCTTTAAGCCTTTATTTCTTTTTCTACCTCTAAAGCTCTGACTTTTTCATTCCTTGATTTTTTTGAGTTCTTTATTTTATAATCTTAGCACAAGACTTTTAAAAATGCAAGGCAGGAATCTTAAAGCCTAATAAAATCTGAGCTTTCAAATGGCTTTCACATGGGTCAGCACATCCGTGATCAGTTCTTTTGAACCAGAACCTAACACTGAATAGAACAGATTCGGGCCAGATGCCTTGGATTAAAGTGATCAAGGAACAGAATACAATAACAGAAGTAAATTGACGTAATAACGTATTTTAGAGGAAGAACGGAGGAGTTGAATTCCCTATCAAAACTGACATTTTCTTGAAATGTGAAGGTAAAACTGAGGCTTCATTCTGTGCCCTCCAGCAATGCAGCAAGCCAGTAAAAAAAAAAAAAAAAAAAAGGGGAACTTTTCTCTGACAGCTGAAGCTAGCAAACATGTAGATTTATTTCAAACAATAAATGGCTGTGAAGCAGTCAGCATTTTTAATATTGTCTGTTAAATCAGGCAAGAGATTTTACTAATAGTAAAAATATTACAGTAAAATGAAAGGAGTGCTGAACTCCCTGAGAAGATGAGTGAAATGTTTTTACAGCAAAAAATTAAAAAAAGAAGGTGAAGAAATAAAGAATCTCTGGCTGATGAAATGCTGAAGATCCAGTCTTGTGATTTTGGGAAGCTAAGCCCCCCTGAGAAAATTAGATTTTGTCTGGAATGCGGGGCAAGACAGAAGAACAGATGTGATACAAATCATAAGAAATTAATCATGAGAAGAGAAGGAAAAATAAACAAACATAAGTCGTCAGCTAATCCCAGCCAACGCCTCTGATAGATAGACCCTACAGTTTGGCCTCTATAAAGTAGAAAACACAGAAAAGTGTAAGAGTGTATTTATAAGAAAAGAAGAGTAAAAATAACTTTTTAGGGCAATCAGACAAGGAAGACTGGAGACCCATGCCCCAACATTTGAGGACAGGTAGCAAATAATGAGTAGCAAATCCTTTTAAAGAAAAGGAATAACTTAAAATCTTCAATACTGAGGTACTATGACAATAAGTAGAAAATGTCGTTGTCCACAGAGGGTCCAAGAGTTACCAGAATAAACTAATTTATTGCCATCTGATAGTAGCAATGTTTCTCAGAGGAGCACCCCAGAATGTGAGGGAAGTATCCTTGGGAAGCAAAACTCTTTTTGTTTTCTCTTTGGTCAATGGAGAGACAGAGGGACTCAATCAATGATCACTCAGAGCAGGAGTCTGCTTTGGATGCTCTCCCTGCTTGAAGGGACTTCCTTCTTCTGTAAGGAGTGCAGGAGATGTTGCTTCGATAGCCTAAGTGGGCCCCTGGGAAATGAACACTGCTAATTAGTATGAGTCTTTCATAAATTAATAAACACCAGGTCTCCAGACCTTGCTTCCAAATATTTTGGAGTCTAAATAAATAATCTGTTTTTCAAAAAGACTGATATGGTAAGGAATCACTAATTGGTCCACACTTCCAGGCAGCATTTGAACTAAACATTTCAGAGTCAACTTCAGTTTCTCTTTATAAATAAATTTAGTATTACCATTTTCCAAGCATGATCTCTTTTTAGCAGACAATGCTTCTTATACTAAAAATTAATGTCTCTCCTGTTAACTTAAAAAAATGCCTCCATAAAAAAGTTGTTTATTTTTAAAATGTTGAAAGTAATCTAAAAGAATTTCACAAATATTTAACATGGCCATGACACTCAGAATATTTCTCATAGAAATTCAGAACACGGAGAAAAAATTCTCATTAAGATTCAGGGGATTTCAAAGGTAAAACCACAATAAATCTTCATTATCACACAGATCCAGTGTTAATAAAAATGTCCTAATAACAATTGTTTTGTGCTTATGGGACATATCCAGTGACCTTGTACTCTTGTTCAGCAAAACTATGCGGGAAGCTGAAAGGTAATTTGGCATATGGTCAGTCTTTTTCTGAAAGACTTACATAGCACTATGTAGAATATGTATGTGTTTGTGCATTATATTTAAAAAATGAAAAAAAAAAAAGAAGTGATGAATAGATAGGTCTTGACAATACAGACAATACATATTGCTGGAGATGGAGGAAAAGAATAAAACGATAAGCACCAGCACCTCCTTCTCATACTTTAGTATCTTATTTATTCATAAGCTGATGAGAAGCCTTCAGGCAATAAAGATTGCTATTGACCTAGCATTAAAGAAATATAGCTTTTTCTTTATTGTTTTATTACCTTCCGCAAAGGGTTAACACTTTTGCTTTTCATTCTTCCTATTGAAAGTACTTTAGAGCAGAAAGGTGAGAAGAATTTTCCCCAATTTCTAGGCAAAACATCTGCATTAAAATAGCTTAAACGCAAGTCATAAGTTCCCATCAGGATGCAGAATACATTTATTCAGTTAGCGCAGATTGCAAGTAACAGGCAATCAAACAAATTACCAGAGAGAAGTTGAATTAACACACAACCACTGTGTACTCTTCAAAGCTGAATGTGATTAACAGGATCAGAATGTGACTTCAGCTTTTTCAATGCAGCAGAATTTAGAATGAGGTAGAAGCAATTAGTCTGCGACTGATAGGATCATTAGCTGGTTACAAGAAGAACCATGGTTTACAGTTTAATGTACATTTCTACAAGCAGCTGATCAAAAAGCAGTTTAACATCTTGTGGCTGAAAGAACTCTCTTGGGCTATAGATACTTCCTTTGTACATACCTGTTTCCCATCTTGCCTCAGATGTTAATGATGATTCAGTGTGATTTGGAGGGGAATTAATTTAAGAAGAGTACAAAGATAAATCCACCTGAGTATGACACATTTTTAATGAACCACTGCATGGATGTGCGGCATGAACTCTGCGTGCGTGCGCAGTTAAATGTAGAGTGACTAGTACTTGTACTGTAAGTAGGTCTTGAACAGAAGAGTCACATGCATGCTCTGTCACTGCTCTGAGTAGTCTAGAGCTAATAAACCTCAACTCTCATCATCGGACTATGCAGATGTGCCCAATGTCATATAGCCACCTTTGTACCTGAACTGCTTGAGAACTGCAACTATAGATACAGAGACCTTCTTCCTGGTAACATTCCCTCCTCCCAAAAGCAGGAGCCTAAGTATGAGACACTTTTAGACATTTGGGTCAGCTTCCCATAAACCACTTTGGATCTGCAAGCAGTACAACTGCAGTTGCATGCACTGTGCTTGAGCACTCTTTCTGGATTCGAGATAGTCTTGATGATATTGCATTGCCTACCACAACCTGCTGTCTTGGGTCTCTGTTATATCAGGAAGCTCAGTATGAGAAGACAAGCCTCAAGACGATACAAATTGCAGAATTTTCCTGCACCTCAGACTTTAACAGGGAAGGTGGATCTAAACGGCTCTGGGATGCCTTGTTTGATCGGTGGGGGGGTTGGACCAGAGGACCCCCAGAGGTCCCTTACAACCTCAACCATTCTGTGATTCTCTGGTACCTTGCAAAACCCAGCCACACTGCCCAAAGCATTGGAGACTGGGAAACCAATAAGCACAGGTAGGCTTTGTTTACTCTGACAAGCAGCACAATGGAATAGGCGCAGATCTGTAAAGCAAAGCACCTGATATGTAGAACAGGATGTCTACACAGTGTGTGCTGCAGGGTTTTTACTTCCAGCTAGTCTGGACCAACTTTTGAAGCATGGTTTTTGGCTTAATTTCATTTCAAAGGAATCTATTTCATGCTCTGTGAGGATAGTCCATCATGTGAACCAAAGCATGAAAAGAGAAGACAGTCTTCTAAAATAACACGCCTTATCTACTCTATAGTAATGTTAAAGGAGAAGAAAGAACCCTCAGAATCCAGGGGGTACCTAGTCTTATTTCATAATAGTAAGATGGCTCACTCAACCTTCAGCTGTGCACCTCTTTATCTCAGGACATACAATCTTAGCTTCAATTCAAAGATGCAAAGGAGAGACAGGGTGGAATATTTCAAGACTGCTGAGGGTTAAAGTTAGTTCAATAATGCTTTTTAATATTTATTTAAAATATTCATTTTAGTCCTCTCCTTATACAGATATTATGTTTCTGCTCCCAGTATAGCTAATCCTATGGCCAGCTGTTTTTTTGTCATTTTAGAGATGTCACTTTTCTGCCAGGTTTTCTTCTATTTACCTTTGTGGGTTTTGTGGACTGGTTTTTTATCACTTGTTGCCAGATGAATTTCTGGGTAGTCCTATTCTATTTGGCAAATAAAAGAGTCCCTTGGACTGAAAGCACCCGGGATCAAAAAGAAATAAACCTGGATCCAACACATGTGAGAATAAGAGGGAAGCACTGCCAAGCTGAGGGCAGTATTTACCCTTAGAAGATTGAAAGAAAATGCCTGCATGGCCTCCAGCTGC